GTGTTCACGCGTTTAATTCCTGGAAATCGGAAGTCAAGGCAGAACTCTTATTCTCCATTGTTTGATTATTGATTCCAGTTAGTTTATCAGTCGGAGAATCGTCTCAGCCTTTTAGCATTTAATTCCTGGAATCAAAAGTCAAGGCGGAAGTCTTATTCTCCATTGTTTAAGTTTCTTGTTTTATATTTGAATCAAATAGGAAAAAAAATTTAGCCATAATTTTTAATTGTTTTAAAATTTTAATATACTAAAAATAATGAATACGTTTGAAATGTCTGTTACTCTAACTCACACATGTGAAAATTTAACACAAGAGAGTGCTTACATGGCACTCTTTGATTGGATGTACAGAAAGTTCTTCAGGAAGCATTTTTTTTTGTAACCAAAGAGATCCATTGCACAGAAAGAAAGCTAAGGATACAAAAGAAGACCCCTCATGTTGAGGTATGAGTTGTGTCTTGGGGGGAGGGGTTTAGGAGTTAGAATGTAAGATCTATTTATATTGGCCCTTTTTGCTATATCGTGAGTTGGGCCTACATCATTCATGTTTACATAATTTTTTTTAAGTTCCACAAAAAAAGGGAGAAGGAATTTGATATGCTCGTTCAGCGCCTATTCATTGCACCTTGTGTCTACTCTGGTTTCCTTGAGTTTCTGCAAGATCTCTTTCGCATCCGACAAAATGATAGCATGGTTGATACCCAACAAGATAAGTCTTCTCAGGCCTCGGATGATTGCCCAGAGCTCAGCTTCTAAGGAGTTAATGGCATTGCATTATTGTCCTTCTGCAAAGCAAACATTGTGTGTGTAGGAGACTATATATAAACCTATGAAGGCTGAAGTCGTTGTTGGATTCTAGGATCCAGCAACTATCACAATGGAGTGAGATGCGAGGGGTAGATTGTGGGTGAGTATGTCATTTTGTTCAAATTGGTGGTGAAACTGAAACCATTTTTGAACTTTTGTATCTAGAACATACATGTTGGCTTTTCTTATAACTTCAAGGGGGTCCGGGGACTTTCCTTTGAAGGTTGCTTCATTTTTGTGATCCCACATAGCCCTCAAGATGGCTAACAGTCTAGCCAAGGAGAAGTCTGTGAGGCTTTTCTTTTCAGGGTTCCTTTCAATCCACCAAGATAGGAAGTCTGGTGTTCCTGAGAGGGTGAAAGCTTCTAGGTTAAAGCCAATTTACGCTGACAGCTAGACTGCCCTTGCTAGGGGACATTCGAAGAAGAGATGCACCTGTGTTTCCAGTGCAATGCCACAAAGGACACAAAAGGAGTCCCCTGAGTGTCTTAGGAACCAAATTGACTGCTTCATTTTTACGCCGCTCATTAAAACTTTCCATCCAAAGAGTTGACATTGAAGGGGGGCTTTTGTGGTCCATAATTTTGACCACCTGATTTGTTCTAGAGAGGGACCCACGGTTTCAGAATTTGAGAAACTCCTGTAAACCGATCGAACCAAGTACTCCCTATCCTTTGATCTTTTCCAAAGAAGCTTGTCCTCTTGGCTTTGTGGGGTCAGAGGGATGTTTAGGATAGCTTCAGCTGATGGATCTATGAAGACATGGTATAACAATTGGGAGTTCCAAACCCCCTAAGAAGTGATGAAGTCTTTAACCACCCAATTTCTAATACTAGGGTCCTGTAGTTGTCGGGGTTGGGGTTTATTGGAGGGAAGACTTGAGATCCAAGGATCATCATGAGAGTTTATGCGAGTTCCATTCCCCAATTTCCAACAAAGATGTGGTGTGAGACTATTTCTGATACATAGGATGTTTCGCCACCAATACAAGTGAGATCTCCCTGGTTGGACTTTAAAGATGGACTTGTTCCTTAAGTATTCTGCTTGAATTTGTTCCTCCCACAGGTTTCGCTCTCCTGTTAGCAGCCGCCAAAATTGTTTTGCAAAAAATGCCTTGTTCATTGGTTCTGCTTTCCCGAGGCCTAGCCCCCCTTTAGATTTAGGTTTTCAAATCCTGCTCCAAGGGATATTGTGGCTTCCTTGCTTGCTTGTTTCACCCTACCACTAGAAATTTCTTTGGAGTTGGTCCAGTCTCTTCAAAGTCTTCTTTGGGAATAACAATGTGGACATTTGATAGATAGGTATATTCTGGGCGACTGCTTTTAGCATGGTAGTTCTGCCTGCTTGAGAGAGCACTTTAGTTTTCCAAGTGTCCAATTGGCTTTCTGTTTTTGTAAGAATTTTTGCATGAGGGCCAGTGCTTCCTCTTGCTTCATCCATCCAAGCGCCCAAGTACTTTATTCTAGGTTGCATTAATTTCATGCCTACTAGACGGCCCATGAGCCTCTGATGAGTTCTATGCGTGTTCCTGCTAAAAATAATGCCTGACTTGTTGAAGTTTATTTGTTGGCCAACTATTTGGTCAAATTAGAGAAGCGTTGGTTTGACAAGGAGGGAATCTAGAGTAGCTTTACTGACAATGAGGCAATCATCAACAAACAGGAGATGGGAAAGGGGTTTTGAATGCCTGGCTAACTTTATGCCTTGCAGCCTGCCTTTCGTAGCCTCCTTCTCCAAAAGTTTTGTTAACACCTGCATTCCAATTATGAATAGATAGGGTGATAGGGGGTCCCCCTACTGGAGTCCCTTGTTAGTATGTAATAATTCAAGAGGGCTCCCTTTTAGTTTTATTGAGTAGGTGATAGTGGTGATGCACTGATTGACAAGGTTGCACCATTTCTCTGGGAACCCCAACTTTCTTAGGGTTTGGATGAGGAATTCCCACCCCATTCTATCAAAAGCTTTGGCCATATCGACTTTTAACATTGCCCATCTGGTTTTCCCCTTCTAGTGCTTGATTTTGTGGGTTATCTCCTTGGCTAAGATTACATTATCGGCAATGTTTCTGCCTTTGATGAAGAGTGCCTGGTTTGGGGCAATATCTTGGGAATAAGATGTCCGAGCCTGTTAGCCATTACTTTTGCTAGCACCCTGTAGACCACATTGTAGAGGCTAATTGGACGGTATTGATCTACTGATCCTGCCCCTACTTTTTTTGGTATGAAGACTAGGTGGGTATGGTTTAGCTCTGTAAGTAGGTGTTGGCTGTGAAAAAAATTTACAATGAGTTGTGTTAGGTCGCTTCCTAGTATGTGCCAGTACTTTTGGAAGAAGAAGGGAGTGAAACCATCAAGCCCGGACACCTTTTGAGGGTTCATTTGAAAGAGAGTTTTTTGACCTCTTCTTCTGTTGGTGTGTGAATAAGTTGATCTCCCTCTGATGCTGAGATGACCGGTTGGATCAGCCTGTCCAGAGAGTTAGGATTGAAGTCCCCGGACTGTCCACTTATTTTAAGGGTGTGCTCTTGGAAAGCCTTCCCTATCTGTTCTCTCCCGAAGATCCAAGATTGGGCTCCTAATTTTAACCATTCGATGTTATTCCATCTTCTCTTGTGTTTTGTTTGGAGATGGAAGTATTAGGCGTTCCTGTCTCCTTCTTTGAGCTATAATTCTCTTGATTTCAATCTCCATAATTCCTCCTCATAGGCTAACCAACAATTGTACCGACTTTCCAAACCTTGAAGTTCTTCTTGTAAGGTACCAGATTGGTCTTGCTGCTTTGGGAGATGTCACCAAAAGTTATTTTGTTCTAAGATTTTAGCTCGCTTTTGATGAACTTTAGTATTTTTGTAATTTTGAAAGTTGTAGAGCGAGGGGGTTGTTTGTTCCAATTTCTAACTATGATTTCTTCGCATGCTGCATGGTCTGCCCACATAGGGAGAAAATGGAAGGTTTTTTTCCCAGGCATACAAGTGGGTAGGGTGTCCAAGAGAATGGGATTGTGATTTGAGTTAATAGCTTTAGATTTTTTGTTTGTATGAAGAAAAAGATTCACATGGAAGAGAAGAAGAAGATAGCCTCGTGTCTTGGGTTTGTCTTGCAAATCCAAAGCCACAACCGCAAGAAGACTTTATCTTCCCATTAATGGTTGGAGTTTTTTGAACAACGAATATAAGTTAACTCAAACAACAAATGTAAAATAGCACAAAAAAATAATAAAAAAGAAAAAGAAATACTCAATGGATACAGAGGAAAAGACTTCCAAACATCCATACAACATTACTATTTGTTGGAATTAAAAAGAAAATAAAAAGCGATTCTGTCATCGGCATTCAAGAAGGAAAGATGAAAAGCCCTAGACATAGATATCAACTTTCCTCTGAATACTCGATGCTTGAAACTTTCCGTCAACACCATTGTTGTTGCCATTAAAATCCACAGTCCTCGTTCTGTTGTGGTTTGAACACTGTTAAAAAATAAGTTTACTTTAAAATAAAGTCGGGGCGGGCGGGGACCTCAATCTCCATCCCCTCCCTGCCCGCCCCAACTTTGATAGAAAATTCTTATTAATCCCCGTCTTTGTCTTCGCCTCGTCAAAACAATCTCCATTGGGTCTCCGTGGGGAGGGGGGAAAATTGCCATCTCAAAAACCAAAAGTTCTCATCCAACAGTTGTAATGCCTCGGCAAATACGGGCCCACCTTGTACTCCGCCAAGGATAATTTGTCCTTGTGCACTGCTAGCATAACGAGCCGTGTCCGTCACGGAGATGCCGAATCACAAGAGGACAAAGGGATTTTGCCTAATAACATTTATCTCTGACAATTGAACCGTTGATCTGAAACGTCCTAGGGATTTGCATCCTCCGGTAGGACCGACGAAGCATCGGATCCCTAGATTGTCAGATGACTCAGATCACTTCATGTGTTGTGGACTGTTCACCCCGACCGTTGATTCTGAACCCGCTTTTTAATGACACGTACGATTCTTGAATGGCACAGCAAATAAGAACCACCTCATTATGGTGGTCCATGTAACTAACCCTCGATCAAAGGCTCAGGACTCTTTGGATCCACGTTACACAAAATCTGGACCCATTCATGGGGAACAAGATCAAAATCTGACGGTGAGCGTACGGAATCTACACGAACACTGTAGATACAGCTATATTCTTACGCGTGTTAAATAAATTAAGCTTCTTTCCGGGGAGCCCTTTTTCGCACCGAATCTCGGCTACCCGTCTTGGCAAAACCTCTGAAACTCAGGTTTTGGTTCTCCGAGCACCTCTATCATCCGACGAATTCCAGGATTCTCGATCTGGGTAACGATTCTTTTACTTTCTTCTTCTTCTTTTCCCTTCTCCTCTCTCTATTGTTTTCCCAGTTGTTCTTTGTTTCTTGATCTGCGTTTTCTTCGTGTTTGAATTGGTTGATCTTTAGAGTTTAGATTCTCTGCATTTGAGTGGAAGGTCGTGTGTGTGTTTGAATTCGCATCTAGGTTTTTGGTTCCCGAGAATAGATGATTTGGGTTTGGTTGAAAAGTTGTTTGCCTGTGGTAAGTGTTAATGAAGTTTGCGAATTTTCGTTTTTTCTGAAACCCTAGTAGTATCAATCTATGAAATGAACTTGTAGATTTCTGCTGTTAGAGATAGTGTCGTGGATTATTTGTTGTTTTGATAGGAAATTTTTTTTTTTCTTTGAAATTTATAAGTTTGGTTTTTCTTTACCTCAGAAGATTATTGAGTCTTATTTACTTATTATATACATTTGCTGATGTAGTTTGGGGATTATCATTTACCTCTGGTTTTGAAACCCTAGTAATATCAATTTATGAGGCAACTTTGTGTGACTAATCTGTTTGTAATATGGTTTTTTGTCGTTTTAATCGGAAATTGCATGCCTGGGCTAAACTTTGAATCCAGAAAGTGGGATTTCTTTCCTGGAAGACTCTCAGTGGGTTTTTGGTGGAAGATTTATATTAAGTACTTTTGGATCTTCTCTTATTCGCTTTGGAATCCTATTCCTACCAACTCATGACGCCAATTTGTAAATTTCAACTGTTAGTGACATGGTTTACTATGAGCTTGTTTTAGTGGAAAAAACATTAGATTGTAATTCCAAAGGGGCTTTGGTCTATGATGTTCTAGGAAATAGGATTTTGCTCTTCCCTTTAGTTTTAGAAATATTAGGTTTCTTCTACAGATTCTTTTCTGTTTTCATTTCCATGCATATTTGGGAATGGAGACACCAAACATGTGAGCTATTTAATTAATTATTTATTATTATTATTATTATTATTATTATTATTATTATTATTATTGTGTGTGTATAGTTCATCAAGGAAAAACCTACTTGAGGGTTAATCAAGGAACCAAAGCTGAAAATGAATGTACACGTGCATTTGTCCTATGTACTATAGGCCTTTGTTTTTTTTAATATTTTTCTTTTCTCTTTGCTTTTCAGAAAGTTGTTTTTGGGAATTGTATATTGATGAAACGCTTTATTCTTGGATTTTGTTTTCTTGGTCCCAGGCATTTGATGAGTTTAAAGCCATTTAGTGTTTTTTTTTTTTATTTTGGGCTAGATTTTTATGTGTCATTAGTCTTAGATCGCATAAACTTATGAATTTCCTCGATTTTGCCAAGATGTACTGATCATAACTCTCCATGATGCATGCTCTTGTTGTCCAGTGGTCATGGTGGTGCTAGTTCTCCAGTTTGGGCTTGAGTTAGAGAATCTGGAAATAACTAGTGTTATTATGAGCATGGAACACAAGCCCAGGGCATTTGCACAAATGAATTCGCCATGGGACATAAGGAGGATCGATACCTGTGAATTTGTTTAGTATTAAACAGTATGAAAGAGCTCAAAACAAAACCAAACTCCCTGAGATTCTCTTATGTTTAATAGCACCAGGCCTTCCCTTTATTTTGTTCGTCACTTCCGACCAACCTGACAAGGATATTGGGATTATGTCAAGATAACTGATGGTTCTGAGGTGTCAAACTCATAGTTATCAAGGCATATAGCCAATTCTAAGTGATAGCGGTTTATGTAGTCACCCAGGCACCTGTCTAGGCTATAGAATTTTACAATAAAAAAAATTCTTGGTTAGTTCCATAGCTTTATATACTAATCAGCATGCATATAATAGCACTGATCTTTACATTAATTTTCCTCTGAAGGAATTAAGCATGACAGTTCATTATTCCTAAAAATAAACATTATTCTACCCTCAAAAAAATCAACAGCATATTAAATCCATTAATTTCAATATTTCAAACAGATTAAACCTAGAAGCATATGTCAATGCAGATTAAATCTGTTAATTTTAATTGTTTATCTTTATAATAAAAAATAATAATTTAGTTTTATTTTATTTATGTAATGGATTATCTGTTAGAAAAGAAAACAGATTAAACCTAGAAGCATATGTCAATGCAGACAATACTAGACAATGAAAATAATTCATAATTAGTTATACACATACTAAACTACCAAGTATTGTAAATTCATTTATATTAAACTTTACCATGTTTGAGACTTGCTTCAGCTTCAATGTAAATATCAGTGTCATCACTTATCAATATGTATAAAGCGCTCACTTTGAAGTGTTAATGTAACATAGCTTCAGAAAAATCTGATGTCACTGGGATACAGCAGCTGGGTATTCTTCATCTGATATTATATTTCTGCAAACATATACTGATGCATAAAAATATGGTCGATGCGGTTAGATGCCATTGGGGAAAGGTGACAGTGTTTCTGTGTGGGTGTCTCTGTATGCATACATACAATATACAATAGCTATTGACAGTTTATTGTACAATATATCTTCATGGATGTGATAAATCTAAGTTCCTTATTCATAGGTAGATGGTAAATGCATCAACCAAAGTCTACTTCTAGTTCAAGTCTTGTTCGCAGCAATGCGCTACTTCCTCGCCAGCATCTAAATAGCACTGACAGTGCGATGGGATCTAGCAGCAGAGGGAGCATTATTGAAACTAGCAACAGTAGCAAGAACAGCCCAATTCTGAGCACCAGGCAACGGTTGCGTTGGACACATGAGCTCCACGAACGCTTTGTGGATGCTGTGGCAAAACTTGGTGGTCCAGACAGTGAGTTATCTCAACCAAAGCCCATCTGATTTGAGTTTGGTATATTGTGAATGTGATGTCCCATGTGTGATGCTTGGTAGATGTTGGAAGTGATCGTGAAGTCAATCAGTACAAAATTGTATTTTTTCAAAAGTCTAGATGCATGGCATAGAAATCCCAATGGTGGACTAGAAAGGTGTTTTAGAAGACATCTTGAGATGAGATCTCGATAGCCCATTGCACAAGGTTCTCACCAATGTGGGGTCTGGGGAGGGACAGATATACACAGCCTTACCCCTGCACATAAAAAAGGCTGTTTCCAAGATTTGAACCCTGGTCACAAAGGTTGCAATGGAGCAACCCAACTGTTGCACCATAGCCCACCTTCTGTTTCAGAGGACAACATCTCAGAATCTGGAATTTGGTGTCCAGACTCCATTATGGTTTTCTTTTTGAGAAGTCCTGTTCATGGTTTTCTTTCCTTTCATTTTGTGAGTCAATTTACTGCAACTTGAATCTGAGAAATGATTAGATAGTTTTGTGAATTATTTACTTTATGGAATTACCAAATAGATTTTCTGGTAGTACATAGTACCCAAAAATGTAGATTTCTGGTGGGGAAGGGGATTGTGGTAATTCTTTAATAACATGGATGAACAAGCTTTTCAAGAAAGAAAGAAAAGAATTCCAACCATGTTATCAGAAGGAGTCTAACTATGAGGACTTTTATTTAGCCATTTTTCATATTCTCATTTTTATCTTTTTCATACTCACAGAGGCCACTCCTAAAGGTGTTCTCAGGGCAATGGGTGTATTAGGTTTGACTACATTCCATGTCAAAAGCCACTTACAGGTAATTATACACAACCATCCTTGAAACATCCTTTCTTTCATGTGTTTATTACTTACATTATATTTCTACCTGTGTTTGAACTCTATTTTATATTGCATCCAGAAATATCGTCTTGCAACACACCATCCAGAACTTCATGGTATGTATCTCTGACCTAGAACATTCTTTTATTAATTTGAAGTAAATTACTGATTAAAAAAGTTATTTGAAAGTGAATTAGGTAGCTCTTTCCATAGTAATAGTAGTATCTCAAGTATGTGTTCACATGAAAAACTTGTGGAAGAATTAATTTTGTATTGTAAATGTAGGAAAAATGGGGAGAGAAGCACGTGCTTTGGTTCAACTAACAGAAGGCTCCTCGTAAGTAGAAGTGTATTTTCTTTTTTGTGTAACATACATTTCTGTGAGCAAATGATCTTAAAATACTTTAAAGTTTAGGAAAACTGACACCTTGAAAGTCCCTACCATGGCTCTACATTGGTGCACATCCAGGTACTACTGTATTGATCATGAGATGTTTCCCGTTACCTTTTGTGTTCTTCATAACATCCCAAATTATCAAGTAGAACAAAGGGTTGGATGGTTGTAGTTTGTCAACACATTTACTGCTTTTTTGCTTGTTAAAGAGACATGTCTGAGATGATGTGGGGATTTTTTGGCAGTCAGATCCAAAAAATGGACACTCTCAAGCTGCAGGCTGAGGTGCAAAAGCGTCTGCACGAGCAGTTGGAGGCAAGTCTCTTTAAATTTGTTACCGGCATTTTCAAAGTCAAATTTTCTCTTTTCCCTTTTGTAAGTAATCAAAGTACACCATTAAATATAAGGGTGCACAAAAGAATGATCTGAAGTCTCCAAAAAGGAAAATGAAAAAGGAAAGACAAAGCAAACTTGCATTCTACCCCCCTCTACACCCATGACAAAATCCAAATTGAATTCAAAATCCCTCTCATCTTTGAGATCCAAAACCTAAGCCACAAGGAAGCCATGTAGCATTCACAAATAGTCAAACAGAAGGCTTTCAAGAATTCTTTAATTTTTCTGCATGAAAGAGGGTGAGGGGGGAGTTGATACATCTATGATGTGCTTGACTTGGGACTAAGGTACCTTGGCCTTGAAGACCTTGAGAATTGAGATGTGATGGTGTTCCAGATGCCCTCGGGTATATGGACAATTGATATGGCATTCAAGATACCCTTAGGGTTAGACTATATGGTAGGTATAACCAGTGTTTTAAAAGCAAAAGGTGCAAGGAGTGGCACGCGCCTTTTTGAGGCAAGGCACACAATTAAAAAAAGCTAAAAAATAAAAAAAAATTATAAAATATAATATTAATAAAAATATAAACTTAAGTTTTAAAATAAATGTTTTAAAAAACCTATTATCTAAAATTAAAATACATAAACATAATATGTAAAGCATATTCAATTGAGAATTTAAAAATGAAATCAAACATATAAAACATTTTCAAGCATATAAAACCCACAATCTCTTTTTTCTCAATTGCATCAAGTAGCTAATGTGACATATTACATTCCTAATTCTACGAGCCGCCTTTGTGCCATGCCCCTCGAGGCAAGCCCAAACAAGTCCATGTTAGGGCCTTAAATTCTTAGCTTTCACACAAAAAATAATGATTTTATAGTTTTAATTGTTGTTAAGAAGATATTTTATTAGGATGAATGAATGGACAACATTACCAAATAGGGGGTTCTCGAAGCTTCGGTGAGCAAGCGAACTGGCCTCGAGGGGCGTGGCACAGGGGTCCGGGGGCGGAGACCCCAACCCAGCCGCCAAACTCAAAAAAGGAAAAAGTGGCAAAATTTCAAAAGGCACACCAGGCGTGCACCTTGTGAATGGGCTGTACCTAGGACCTGGGCGAGGTGCTTACCCTAAAATGTGCCTCGCCTGTGTGCCTGAGGTGCGCCTTTTAAATCACTGAGTATACTATTCCTTGCGAGTAGGGATGGCAATTTCTACCCTACCCAGTGGGTACTCGCCCTAGCAGGGTAGGTGTTTTTGCTTGAACGATGGGTTTTGGGGTGGGGACAGATTTTGGGATTCTACAATCTGTATGGGGTACAGGTAGGGTACAATATAGGCTAAATCCAACCTCCCCAACCCACATACTTTTGGAAAGCATATAAAATTTATGTATTAGGTGCCGAATTTAATAATATCTTGAATTTTAAGTGAAGGATAATTGATAATTTGTGTTTTTTTACATGTTTTAATCAAATAATTGGAAACTTTGTTTTTTATTTGTGTTATTTTACTTATTTATTGCTTATGTATAACAGCAAATAATAGGAAATTAGATGTGGGTCTAAACCCGACCCGCCCTACCATTGAATGCAGGGAGGGTTTTGCATTTTCATGTGCGGGTAGGGTTTGGATTCTCAAAATCCAACTGCTACGGGTTTTGGGAAGGTATGGGTTGGGAGGTTTAGGGAGGTGGGTGGGGTCTAGAATTTACTAAGCCCTCCCCAAACCTGCCCTGTTGCCATCGTCGTGAGACAATGTATCTATGAAGAGTCTGCGTTACAATGGAAACTGGTTTTGCCAGTCGGGACAGAAATCTTTCATATGGTAAGTTTGGGGCTCCGCATGTTCTTCTGGTCTCTCTAATGGGTTGACTTTGACTTTGACTGGAGGATTGAACAGGTGGTCAATCCAGAGGGTTCCTTATCAGTGGTTTTGGATCATGTGGCAGAAATAGGGGGGGATTATGTACTTAAATTAGGGAACCATTTTCAACAACACTGTTCTTGATTTTGTCGTATTCCGTTGGTGGTAGTTAAAAATATTCGAATATTCCCTCATTGCATAATATAAATTTTTACATTCAGATTTTAGAGAAAATTCATTTGCTTCAATTTCAAGCTTTGAGCCTCTGCATGTGGTGTTTGTGTGGTGTTCGAGTATTCAATTTCAACCTTGACGCTGTTGAATCATGTCTGGACATGTAGAGCACCTGTCCGTTGATTTATTATTTTTTTATGTTCAAAGTACAACAGGTCCAGAGGCAACTGGAGGTAGGAAAAGAAGACAATAGTAAACCCCCAAAGATAACTGAAGAACAAAAGAGCTCTAGTGATGTTCTTGCAGAAGCATCTGGTGCAGTCACTTCTGTCCCTTTGTTAGAATCTGAGAAGACTGAAGCATGTACCCCTTCTCCCACTGCATCAGATTCTGCTCCCACCTCCAACTCCCCCAATCAAGAACTTGAGACCCCTGCCCAAGTTGATGCTTCCAAGGAACATCCCCAAGCCAAGAATGCCTCTGCCAGCAAGAGTTCATCCCCAGGTGAGAGCTCAGGTGAGAGGGTAGTGAAGAAGCAGCGAGTCAGTGAAGGCCCAGAATGTGCTTAGTTGGGGTTGGTTCTCAAACACATTGTTTCAAGCTTGGGCTCTGCGCATCTGCAATACAGAGCATTTTGATCTTTATTCCAGGGCATCCTTGATGATGAGGAGCATCTGAAAACATTTCGGGCAGTGTTCCATGAGACTAATTTGTGTGTCGGGTATTTGCACTTCAGGGCTGCTTTAGTTTTTTAATGTAGTCTATGGATTAGTGTGATAATCGTGTCAAAGAATTGGGTGTTCGTTTTTTATGCTATTTTCATACTTGGGTTGAAGAAGGCCATTTTGACCTTCCAACTGTTCTTTCTCTCCATCACATACTATAGATGCATACATCAATAGAAATAGAACCCTAACGGGAATTTGACAGGTTATGCGATGGATCCAAGTTATGCCGTCCGTTTATACTCAACCATTTCAGAATTTTGCGTCAAATTAAACTCCCGAACGGGGAATTTGACAGCTTTATGCGGTAGATCCAAGTTCGCTATCTCCCAGATTCGTGTATGAGACCCGGTTGTTGAATCGTTTGAAGTGACACCTGCTAAGATTTTGGGTTTGGTTTTGGAAAAATCCAGAAGCTGGTAAAAAATTGTTGATCTGGTTATAAACCGTCTGACCTGGCCCTTGGGTGGTTGGACCATTGATTAGTTTGACCCAGTGATTGGATCACAGGTTGTACACTAAATGTGTGCAAATTTCTGTAGGTCATAATTTTGCACTCACGTCTGATTGTGATGATTTTTTTTATTTTTGGGTAATTTATAGAGATTTGTGTTTTAAGATGTACGTGCTTTGTCCTGTTAATTTTGTAAAACAAAAACTCTTATGGTTTCAAATCATATTTTTTAATATTTTTATAAATAAAAATATAAAAATTGAATTAGAAAGCATAAATATAAAATAATACATGTATTACATGAACATAATTATATTATACGTTATTTATTGATAAAATACATGTTTACAAATATATGTATATTCATATTGCTAATATGACATGGTTTCACGTTCACCCGTTCAACCTAGATGATCAAACCGTTTTCCTGTAACTGTTTTTGCCTCCGGGATGGTTAAAACATTGCTTGGCAGAGGAATTGTTCTATTTCCGTGCCTTTCTTCTTTCAAGAGCATCCAATTCATAAAATGCAATAATTATACACCTATTAGAACTTGTATGGTCGTTTTAGCAAAAAAAAAAAAACTTGTATGGTCTGACCGTCTTAAATAGTGAAATTTAGTGGGTAAGCTGTCAAGGGCCAAGGGCAAAACAACTTGGGATTAGGGGTGCTCACAATTTGGATAACCGAACCATGGGCTTATATTTGAAACCAAGTTAGTACTATCGGTTTTTGAAAAACCGGTAACCAATTGACCAGTTTGTTTTTTTTTTTTACTTTTTTATATTTATAATATGTATTATAAATTAATATATAAATATATAATAAAAAACTAAAAATAAAAAAATATATAATATACATATATGTAGAAATAAGAAATGCATGTATACCAATTGGTTCAGTTAACTGTCGATTTTTTTATATTGGTTAACCAAAACCAAACTGGTATCTTCAATTTTTTAGAAATACTGAACTGAAACTAAACCGACTGATTTGGTTAACCAAAATTTTCGGTTTCATCTCAGTCGATTTGGTTTGCTATTTGGTATTACATTAAAAATGTGACACCACCTGACTCATCCAATGGTGGTCAAACATCTAAGGGCCCTTTTTCTTTTTGATTTTGGGAAAGGGTAAAGTCGGTCACCAAAATACTCATTTTTTCCAGATTTATGTGGAATTCACGAAAATATTTTCCCTGAATATCATTTACTCAGGTAAGTGATCCATCTCCCATGTGGATTAGTGCCTAGTGGGATAACTTTCCCACCTCGGGAGGGGGGTTGTCAACACTTTGATGATACAAAATTGCCCATTTTAATAATGGTTTTTATGACTAAAACCTAAAAATCATTTTTTATTTACTTGAGGAAAAAGACCCAGGCCAAGAAATGGTTACCCGAATGAATATTTACCCGGATAAGTAAATTCCTAAAAAGTAAACGGGCCAAGTAATTAAACATCTTGGTCAAGAAAACTATGGATGAAAGATGGAAGACGGGGAAAAGGAAATGCTCTTGCTCATTTTGTGGATAACTTCAGCATACCATCTGACCATTATAACTCTAATGAAAATGGAACATGAAAAACATATCAAAGAAACCAAAGATCAGTCCCGCAGCATTCATTGTATATTACAACCACTAAACGACAATCACTAATTCTAGTAGTGGCAATGTTTTTGGACATGTTTTAACGCAATCAGGGCCCTACCAGGCAAATACAATGCCAATACAGCCGCATGTCAAACACTTCCTTTAACGGCATAGGAAATGCCAACATTTTCCCTTAACACAAGTAAATATTGAGAAACACATACACAGCACCATGGGTTCCCCCTTGAATACAATCAAAAGCAATCCCTATTGTTTCCTTCAAGAATGAGAGGGGGAGGGGGTTACAAGAGGTAGAGACAAGAAAAATGAAAACAATTACAGTTACAAATTTTATGGTACAAAGGCAGTCACGAGGAACGATGCCTTCTATGCTTAACCCGCCTTAGAATGCAAAGCCGTATACGCTGGCTTAAAGCCTCCAACTTCTCAAACTTCTCACGCTTGGGCTTCTTTGGAGCGGTTTGAACCTTCTTCTCCTTCCGCATTTCTGATGATTTTCTTTGTATTCTTCTAAGAGGTGTTGCAAGTGCTTTCAAGGTCATCTGTGAAATAATCACAAGGAAAAAAAAATCCTAATGAAACACAAACCAGTGAAATGGAATAACTTCATTCAGATACAAACTTACAATTTAGGGATGAAATGCACATCCACATACTATGATAGCAAAAATTATCAGTTACATGTTTGATGATTCTTCTTTTTCCCTTTCTTTGTAACCAAAGACAATAATGAAATAAAGGAGGCTTGCCCCATGTACAAAAACTTGCATGGTCTGTATCAAGACTCAAATAAGATGCACAGTCCGTAAGTCTAATCCCTACAAAAATTTACCAGGACTTCTCAGGATAGAGAACCATAACAAGAGTTTTCTATATTTCTGATTCTGACCAATCAATGCCAACTTCCATTAAGGTTTCTTGCCTTGATTTAAGGGTTTGCATCCTTTCTATAAACAACAGACTATGTTTCTATTTTTCTGACCAATCAATGCCAGCTTTCGTTGTAAACAAGAATGTAAACTCCAACTCCAATTTATATGCTTGTTTTGAAAGCTAAGATGCATAAGCATCACACTGTTAAGATCAGGGGAAAAGATTATGAGAAAGAAGAAATCTTCAACAAGTTCCAAGCATTCAATTTCTTTTTTCCTTCTCCGTTTTTTTTTCCTTTTTCGTCTTTTTCTGAGGGTGTTGGGGGATATGCTATTCATAGAGAACAAAGCAGTAGAATGGAAGAAAGGAAAATACCAGATGTTTGTTGTTAGCATTCCCGGTGCAATCTGCGGAAGACGATTCCTCTTCACTGCCTCCTAGAGAAGAGCATCTTCCCCAACTTTCTCGATTTGAACTTGAATATGAGCAGCATTCCTCATTCTGCCCACTTGTCTTATCCTGGGAAATGTGCAATGGCAAAAACTTTTCAAAAGCAGACTTACACTTAAGGTTAGCCTTCATAGAATAGAAGGTACTTTACTGACTTCTTTTGTAAATTTCATGTTTCCTGTCATCGCATAGGAATTAAAATTCTCACAGGATAGGTCAACATGCATATGAACCACTAAAAAGTCCAGCAGAGTCCTCTTACCATAAAAGAGACAGCTTACTCACCTTTCAAGTAATGTGAGACCTATTACTAATAAAAAAGGTGAACCCACAGTAGAAATGACCATCAACCTAAAGATAAGATACTAACAAGAAACAGTAAAAATTCTCAATACCTATAGATCATGATGCAATAAAAAACGAGGTTTTCTTTACACTGTTTAGAGAAGCCACAAAGGCACTGTGGGAAGTCCACATTACTATGATATCATAGAACATATAGCTACACTAGTAATGCAATAAGAAACTGTTGAAAACTGTATGGAAGTCAGTGAAATAACAAAATGGCTTCAACTTGGCTTGTTAAGTTGTAATGCATCACAGAAAAAGAACGAAGGCATGAGCTTAAGGTTGATGTGTATCAAATTTTCCGAACTACTTAAGAATGAAGAAGCACAGATTTCTATTCGGAAGTGAGACCTTGATTTAGCTAGACCTGGAATAAAAATCATATTGTAATCTAGACAACTTAAGGTACAAACAAATGCATTTGTATTGGGGAAGTGGGACATCAATTTCAGAAGACATGGGACCAAAAAGAAACAATTGAAGACAAAAAAAAGGTGCATCAAATGTACAATCACCTGCAAGTGTCGTGATTCATCATCATTGACCCTATCAAAATCATTAGTCATATTATCTTCAACCAGCAGGGAATCCTGAATCTGTTAATGGAAAAAACATTTAAAAGAAAGAAAAGAAATTATAATAGTAAAATTAAACTAATGAACAGAAATTGCATAACATACCAAGACATTTGCAACCGGTGCAATTTCAGAAAGAAATTCTCCTATAGATTTTGTAGTAGAAATACTAGGAGGAGCTGATGATGAGCTGGCAGCCTCAGTACCCACATTACGAAGACCAGCAATAATCTCATATAGGAGGCTCTACAAACAAAAGAAACATGACTATATATTAGTCGCATACTCAACTTAACTAAGCATTATTCAAACTACATAATAGGAGTTGGCCCTCCCCCAAATGTAAATACCCCCGTCCACCAAAATCCCGTAAAGGTGGGGTTTGATCCCAAGTCATTACTACAACCAGCCAGAGACCTTACCAGCAAGCTAGTTGGACCTTCATGCTCAACTCAACTCAATTATCAGTAAACATGGTTGACGTAAAATAGATGAGGGTGTATCATAATACATTTATCTTGATGTACAATAGCTAGGTTCTTTTTTATTTCTTTATCTGATGCCATTCAGTCCCTAAGAGGGCTAATCAGCAATTGTACCAATACCATGACCTTTTAAGGGTGGACGTCAATCATTTGACACCCCACCAATCAAGACTCTATAATTACAAAATGATGCAACGATAGAAATTAAGGATAACAAATAGAACTTATTGCCCCCATAGTATAAACCACACTACATGAATAAAAATATGGATCACTGTTTGATTCCATAATTTCAGAACCACAAACTGAAAGGCTAAATTAGAAGGCTTATTACATACAACAGAAAGACCTCAAGGAGGCTTTCCATCGGAATGACTTGGCCCAACAGGCCTTTGAAGACCTCAAAGCTACGGTGACTAAGCCCCCTACTTTGGCATTACCAGACTTCACAAAAATGTTTGTTGTTGAGGCTGACCATCAGGAACAGGATTGGGAGCTGTGTAAGGCACTATCAGCCCAGGCCCAAACCAAGTCCACCTACAAGAACTAGCTCATGGCAGTCATGTTAGCAGTCCTCAAGTGGAGGCCTTACTTATTGGGCCAGAGGTTCACCATTCATACTGATCAACGGAGTTTGAAGCACCTCTTGGATCAATAGGCTTTAAACCCGGATCAACAAAAGTGGGCCTATAAAATAATGGGCTTTGCCTACCAGATCGAGTACCGGCTTGGACCCACAAACTGGGTCGCGGATGCTCTATCCTGGCTCTTAGAACTGAAATACATGGGCCTACCTAAACAGGTGTACCCTCTGTTAGATTCAATTCGACAGGAAGCCCAGCAAGACGAAGGCCTCATGCACATCAAAGACTCATGGGCCGTGGATCCTAATTCTGTTCCTGGATACCAGGTGATCAACTCCACTCTTTTTTTCTTTTTTACAAGGGGTGACTGGTGTTGCTTCCAACTTCCACCTATATTCCAGAACATGGGCCGTGGATCCTAATTCTGTTCCTGGATACCAGGTGATCAACTCCACTCTTTTTTTCTTTTTTACAAGGGGTGAATGGTGTTGCTTCCAACTTCCACCTATATTCCAGAACTGATGTGCTTATTTCATGAGTCAGAAGGGGGGGGAGGGGCACTCCGGTGTTTTTCGAACTTATAAGAGGCTCCCTACACATTACGTAGCACAAGTATAACAGCCAATCCCCAGCAGGACTGTTACAACCATTCCCAGTTCCTCCACAAGTGTGGGAGATCTCCATGGACTTCATAATGGGGCTTCCCGTCTCTGGAGGAAAATCGGTCATCTTGGTCATTGTAGACCACTTCACCAAGTACGTGCATTTTTCAGCACTGTCTCATCCTCACACAGCTGCCCTAGTGGTCAGGGTATTTGTAAATGATGTGGCCAAAATTCATTGAACACCATTGGTCATAGTCATTGACAGGGATCCTACATTCACGAGTAGATTCTGGGGAGAATACTTCAAGGCTATGGAGATGGAGTACCATTCAACCAATTACCACCCTCAGACTGACAGTCAAACTGAGGTGGTGAACCGGTCTCTGGAAACCTACCTTAAGGTGCTTCACAAGTGACCGGTCCAAACAGTGGGCCAAATGGCTGTCATGGGCCAAGCTGTGGTACAATACCTCATACCATGCTTCAGCCGACATGACCAATTTTCAAGCTCTCTATGGACGCCCACCTCTAAGTATTCTATTTCTACCTTATGAGGAGGGTCAACAGTGGTAGCCAAAGTGGATACCTATTTGACAGAACGAGATGAAATCCTCAAGGCCTTAAAGGCCCATTTGCATAAGGCCCAAGCACAGATGAAGTGGCTATATAGTCAGTCCACCATTGCGAAGAGAGCGTATCAGAAGCTATCTCCTAAAAATTATGGGCCCTTCAAGGTGCTACAACCAGTAGGAGAAGTGGCCTATGTCTTGACCTTCCTTCCACTTCCAAACTCCACCAAGTGTTCCACGTCGCCATGCTTAAGAAGTGCCTCAATTCAGCAACCCCTATAAGCCCCACACTGCAAACCCAACCCATTAAGGTGCTTGATCATCGATGGGTTAAACAAGGAAAGAAAAATCATTGAAGAAGTCCTAATCAAGGTTCAAAGTATCAATATGATACGCCACGTATCGGCCGTATCATATCATATCTTTTGGATTCTGAAACTGTTTACAGGTGTTTTCAGCAATCCCTTTTCTAATAAAAAATAAATACAAAAATGTATATAAAAACCAACTTTTGAAAAAAAAAAACTAAGAGAAATATAAAAGTGCATGTTTTTAAGTACCGATACACAGAAATATAGAAGTGTGTCAGTACTTTGAACCTTGGTCCTAATTGCACGGGCCAGGTTACCCATAGATGATGTTACATGGGAGATTTATGAGAAGCTTAAGGAGTAATACCCAGGCTTCAACCTTGAGGTCAAGGTTGCTGCCGAGGATGGGGCAGTTGATGGGATCCAGCAGAGTCCGCAGATCAAGCCCAGCAGTCAGGCCCACGAACAAGTCCAGGGCAAGCAGCTGAAGCATCTCAGTCACTACAGCACTCCCATGAGCTATCCGTTATGTCTACACAAGGACACGTCACCACTAGTTACAACCTTTTTGTAAAAGGAATCCAGTTAGTTAGCTTGATGAGATATTTCCGGTGGGTCATGTTTCACACTTGGAGGATTGTGCTAGGGTGTTGGCCTGTCAGGTGGACTTCTTTCCCATGAAGTACCTGGGGCTTCCTCTTGGGGCAAAATGCTCCTCTTCTGCTATCTGGGGTCCAGTTATTGAGAGAATGGAGAAAAAACTATCCTCATCCAACCTTCCCACCTATTTCCTGTCCCTCTTTCCTATCCCAGCTGAAGTAGCTAAGAAGCTTGAAAATCTGCAGAGGAATTTCCTTTGGAAGGGATGGGAAGAGAAAAGAAAAATTCATCTTGTGAACTGGGATCAAGTCTGTTTGCTTGGGGAGGAGGGGGGTCTGAGTTTAAGGAAATTGAAGGTGATAAATTCTGCCCCACTTACTTAGTAAGTGGTGCTGGAGGTTTGCCTCTGAAAGAAATTCCTGGTGGAGAAGTTTAATTGCCTCTAAATATGGGGTGGACTGGGGTAACTGGAAATCGCAGGACCCATTCCCAAATTGGGGATGCTCAGTTTGGAAAGGCATTCTTAAAAGCCTGCCAATGGTCCTGAAGGTGTGAGATTCAAGTTGGGTAGAGGTGATAGGCTGAAGTTTTGGAAAGATCCCTGGTGTCTGGATAGCCCTTTATCCAAGGCCTTTCCCCTTCTTTTCCAGTGTGCTGCAAATCAAGAAGTCTCAGTGGCTGATTCATGTCTTCTACAACAGCACAGTAGTCTGAAACCCTCAGTTCAGAAGAGACCTGTTTGACTGGGAATTGAATGGGGTTTTGGAGCTGCTGGATCTTTTACAGGGTCAGAATATTGATACTAATAATGAGGATGAATGGAACTGGAAATGGAGTGGAGATGGCTGCTTCTCAGTTAAGTCCCTGACATCTAAACTCAGCAGCATTGGTTCTGATAAGTTCCCTTTTAAACAAATTTGGAACTCTGTTTCTCCCTCCAAATCCAACTTCCTTGTTTGGACTATGGTGCTGAACAAGTGCCTCTCTAAAATCAGCTTGGAAAGGAGGGTCCTACAGCTCTCTTCTCTCTTGTGTGGGCTTTGTGGACTCTTTCCTGAATCCACAGACCACCTGAGCATCCACTGCCCTATCTCCTCTAGAGTGGGAACATTTTCTCAGGGCAGCTGGAATATGCTGGGTCATGCCAAGATCAGTCAAAGACCTTCTGTTCAGCTGGAAGAAAATAGGAAAATTAGTATGGAAGACAATCCCTGCGGCTGTTCTTTGGGTAATCTGGTCAGAAAGAAACAGTAGTCTTTTGTAACAAGTCAAAGAGCACTGATGAGTTAGTGCAGCAAGCAGTCCATTTGGAGTCTGTAATCTGGTTTTGTGCCTTGGCTAGTCCTGTGGCTAGTTTTTCTGTTGTATCTTGTATTTCCTTTATTAATAAAATCTTACCTTACCTTTTCCAGAAAAAAAAAAAAAAACAAAAACATTTTGCAGTCCTAATCCTAAGAGATTCACACCCTGCCTTCATAATGGCCCCTTGAGGCAAGCCCAAACAAGTCCATGCAAGGACTTGAAGCAGCACCTCCAACCCAAATTTTCGGCCCATATATGCAAAGGGATTGGTTTTGTTATTCCAACTGCAGCGCATTATATAAGATATTAGCTGTCTTGTTGCTTCTTTAGTGGAAATTTTGCTATTTGATATTCTATTTGCAAGAGTTAAGGCTTCAAGTATTTAAAAGGTATTTATATTGCTTATTTAAAAGTTTATAAACCATTACTAGTATACGAACAGCAATAAAAGATAATTTAGGAGTTGATAAACCATTACTAAGGTGTAAAAACACAGAAAGATTCTACAAAAAATAATAAAAACTGAATAGTTAAAACACATGCCTTGGCTGAGGCACAAGGCACACCATGCCTTTAAAACACTGGGATAGGTAGTCTATTTAGAGACCACAGTGGTGAAGCATTATTAAGCTATTCAGGTCCAGTGAGAATTAGCAAGTCCTCGAGGACAGAGCTAATAAAATTGCTGAATGGTCTCAAAAATAGCTTCCTCAGGTGGTTGGTAGAAATTGTTGGTTGAAAGTGATTGCCAAGTAGTGATTGACTGGTTCATTACTAGAGGGGATGGTCCTTGGCCTCTTAGATTTCTTTTAAGAGAAGTAAAAATTCTAGCAGGAAATATGAACTGCGCATTATGGACCCCAAGAAAAGCAAATGAAAGAGACAATACAACAAGCAAGGAGTTAACAGGGAAGAACTGGTATGGGATGTATGGAGGTATGGAACTGATCTGTAAACACTGGATGATCTTATGGGTTTCTATGTGTCATTTTTTCAAGGAAGTCTACATTTTTTTCCTTCTATGCTTCATGGATTTCTCTCAGAAGCATGGATAATATATAACCATAGACAGGGTTTCTATGTGTCAGCTTGTGGATGATATTGATTTTTGGTATTTAGCCGGTACTTACCCTCAATTTTGAACACCTTCAAAAGGCTGGGGATGCCTTTTTCTTTCTACACAATTAATAGAATGTGAATTCTGTTACTGATCAAAAAAAGGCATTACCTCATCCATACCAGCACCAACCTTCAGGTCCCCCAAATCATAGTACTTCTCAAGCTTGCTTGAATATGCAGAAGAAACTTGAGGCGGATGAAGGACATTGTAGAAGAAAATGGAGACTGAATCATAGTAAAATTGTGGTCGTGGAGAGTTATGATCACCATCAAATTTAATAATATTTTTATCTCCCTGCACATAGAGTAAAGTCAGAGGTAAAGAGAATCACATTCTTGATATAGAGTATGCTGCAAAACTACAAATTTAGTAATAGATCAATGAGCAGTTGAAGTGAATATAAATTCATTTAACAATATCGCATAGGATTAATAATGCCTCATACAGAATAAACTAATACCGCATAGGATTTGAAGATGATTTCAGAATGGTGGGGCTGAATAAATACATCCTCAGCAGCATGGCCAAATAGAGCTGGTATATAAGTTTTAGGTCCCACCTGCATGTGTGAGGGAGCATTGACAAATTTACTCAATAATCAGACCTCGTTGTGTCAAATTTCAAGCAGTTACGCAGGAAATAGAAGAAAACCAAGCACTGCACATTAGTAAGGTTCATGTCCAGAAAGGACCTTATTGTATTATTAAAATGGAATTATATGTTTACGAAAAAGGTTAAAAATTACCAAAACCAAATTATTTATTCACAAAAGAGGGAAGAAGGGTCTATATCAACAGTTCTATGCATACACAAACCTTTGTACAGTTAAGGTCCATGATGTCAAACTTTGCCTTCTTTTGAATGACACGTCGCATATACTGGACAGCCATTTTAACCTGATAAGACAAAAACAAGTTTTACAATTGCCACCAAGAGAATTGAGAAACATAAACACCTATTTCACTAAATCTAAACAAAATCTCCTCGTAATCAGCAAGAATTATGAACTTCTTGTGCTTGAGAAGTAAGAATTCCATGTTATCAGGATTAAAACACTTAAAAGTGATTCCAATTCAGAAACATCAGTAGATTAATTAAATGTGGTACAAGCACAGTCCAATTATACAGGGGAAAAACATCTATGGATAGCTAAAATGTGAATAAGTCATGGAATACATTGGGGCTTAAGAATTCATATAGTCAAAACAACTTCAAAATGTAATAATAGAAAATATTCTAGGAGCCAGATAAGAGGGTATGGATTCCTAGACCCAATGGAACCTTCACTTGTGCTTCTTTCTTCAAGTCCATCTCTCAACTTTCTACTCACCAACCCTTTCCATCAGAAGAAATTTGGTGCAGGCCAATTCCCCCAAAAATTTTGGCGTTCTGTTGGGAAGTATTCCATGGGAAAGTAAACACTCTAGATAACCTACAAAAGAGAAGACCTTTCCTCTGTATTTCTCCTGATTGGTGTATCCTCTGTAGATCTCACAGTGAGGATTGTTACCACCTATTAATATCTTGTCTCTTTTCTGCAGACCTTTGGGCTTGGCTACTTTCGTTGTTTGGGAGTAGTTGGAGTCTACCAGCAGAAGTTCACATGCTCTTCAACCATTCTACCTTTTATTGGTCTACAAAAATAGGGAGAATTATGTGGAGATGTGCTCGTGCTGCCTTGATTTGGACTCTTTGGGAAGAAAGCAATGCTAGAATTTTTCAAGAAAAGGAAAAGAGCAGTCAGGAATTGAAAGACTGTGCTGAATAGGGCAATACCTTGGTTGAAGACCTTGTAAATCTTTCATCAATTCTCCTTTAATGACCTTTGGAGAAATTGGTCAGCAGTAGCGAGGTGTTCATCCCTAAAGGACAAATCAATTACAAGCTGGTCTCCTCCATCCGAAGGCTCACTGAAGTTGAACTTTGATGGAAGTAGCAAGGGTAATCCAAGATTATCCGCAATGGGGGGTGCTTTGAGAAATGAGAAGGGAGAGATTTTGTTGCTCTACTCAGGTCCCTTAGGAATTGGGGACTCCATCAGGGCAGAACTATTAGCTGTTGTACAAGGGGTGCAATTTGCAAACCAGCTGGGGGTACAACACCTAACAATCGAG